AAATTCTAACTTAATAGTAACAGAAATTACTATTGCTGTCGGCATTGGTCTGTATTGACCAACACATTTTAAAACTTGGAGGAGATCAAAGTGTCATTATTTTAGATGATAGAGTTGTATATGTAGAGCACTCAAGACTATTAGCTGTAAGACCTCCGCAAACATGAAGAGAATCCAGTAAAGTGATGGTAATTGTATACCTGTGGCATTAATATGGAGTCGTGATGTGGCACTGTGGGCTAATGCGCTGGACTGTAAAGTCAGTTTGAACCTTAAGGTAAGCGGTTCAAACTCACCAGCTCCTCCTTGGAAACCCTATACAGGGTCACTATGAACTGGAACGAACTCGATGGCACTTAACAACAACCAGCATTAATATAGTCTTTATATCAGGAGAAAGATGAAATTTTCTATTCCTGTGAAGATTTACAGCCTCAGACATCTATACAGGGTCTGTGTGAACCAGAACTGATTCTGTGGCACTTAAACAACAGTAACAAGCCTTTATATGCACAAACAAAAGCTAATTTAAGGGGAGAAAAAAATCCGTTTCAGTAGTATCAAAAAAGATAAAATAACCAGAAAAAAATTTTAACCAGTAATACGTCAATAGTCTAAAGTGCATAAATGCATATGGGGAATATTCTAAGGCACAACTGAAAGGCACAAAAGTCAATTGAGCAAATGGGAAGATATACCATATTGTTGCATAGGACGTCTTCAGTACTATGAAGTTGTCAGTTCTCCCTAAATTAAATTTTAATATTCGCACAATCCCTGGAGTCCTGGTGTGGTGCTGCGGGTTAATGCTGGACTGTGAAGTCTGTTTGAACCACAAGGCCAGTGGTTCAAGCTTACCAGCCACTCCTCAGAAACCCTATATAGGGTCACTGTGGGTCGGAACCAACTCGACATCACTTAACAATACTTAACAGGAGTCTTGGTGTAGGTTAAGCACTTGACTTCAAGGTTAGTTTGAATCCTGAGGTCTGTGGTTCAAGCTCACCAGCCACTCCTCGGAAACCCTGAACAGGGTCACTATGAGTCAGGACCAACTCAATGTCACTTAACAGCAACAGGCAACAGTTATGGTGTATTGTGATCAGTGTTAAGTTGTCAGTTATTAACTGAAAAGTCGGTGGTTCAAACTAACCTGCTGCTCCTTGGAAACCCTACACAGAGGCACTCAACACAACTATTCTACAAAACACACCAACTGCTTGGGTTCATTCCCTCCTTTTCTCCTTCCATTTATTCCTTTCTCCCCTCCTGCCTTCTTTCCAAACTCTGAAAGCTTATTCTAGAAAACAAATGTAAATAGAAATAATCAAGAATGACCAGGAAACTCCCAAACCAGTGTAATAAAAAGAGACTAGTCCTTAGATTTATTAAATAATTTTAAAATCTTCATAACAATATGGTACTGGTACAAGAGTAGACAGATTAGCAGACCAGAATATAAAGTTCAGAAAGAGATCTAATAAAAATCCATATATGAGAGTTATTAAGTGCCATGGAATCAGTTCCAACCCATAGTGACCCTGTAAAGGGTTTCCAAGGAACAACTGGTGAGCTTGAACTACTGACTTGGCAGCTCAACTGACTTTGCAACCCAGAGCATAAACCCATAGCACCACATCAGGACTCCTATATAAGAGTTTAGTGTATGATATAACCTGCATCTCTAATTATTGGAGTGAAAAGGAAGTTTTAAATTTTTTTGGAATAAGTCTGGCAAAAGATGAGGTCACGGTATACATTTATGAATATAGCTGAAGTTAGCTAATATAACAGATAGCATGCACACATACACACACGCCATTGGAATGGCTTGACAGGATAAAAAGTTATTCCTTGCTCACTTCACAGTAGTGTGCAAGAAGGCTGAAACTTGGAGATGGATTTCTTTCTTTCATCATGTGGGTCTGCCTCTCATGTTGCTTCACTATGGACCAGGATTCTTTCAAGTACTGTGTGTGTCACTTTCACTGCTCCCATTATAGTCACCAGAACTAGTTTACCTCTTAATTGCAGAGGAGGGTAGGAAATACAGTCTTCCTGTGCATCAGTAGTTGGAAAATATGGCCTTGGTAATAGAAATGATTCTGGAGAACACATGATAGAATTCTGCAAAATCAATCATTTGTTCATTTCAAATACCTTCTTTAGACAGCATAATTGACAATTATACACATGGACCTCACTAGATGGAATACATAGAAAACAAATTGACTACATCTGTGGAAAAAGGTGATGGAAAAGCTCCATGTCATCAGTCAAAACAAGACCAGGGGCAGACTGTGGAACAGACCAATTACTCATATGCAAATTCTAACTGAATCTGAAGACAATGAAAACAAGTCCATGGGAGCCAAAATATGACCTTGAATATATCCCACCTGAATTTAGAGATCATCTGAAGAAAAGATTTGATACATTAAACCCTAAAGACCGAAGACCAGAAGAGTTGTGGGATGACATCAAGAACATCATTATCAACAGAGAAAAGATTGAAGTTGTCAAGGACTTCATTCTTCTTAGATCAACTATCAACATTTAAGAAAGCAAAAGTCAAGAAATCAAACGACATATTGCATTAGGCAAATCTGCTGCACAAGACCTTTTTAAAGTGTTGAAGAGTAAAGATGTCAACTTGAGGACTAAGGTGCACCTGACCCAAGCCATGGTATTTTCAGTAACCTCATATGCATGTGAAACCTGGACAGTGAATAAAAGAATTGATGCTTTCAAGTTATGGTTTTGGAGGAGAATATTGCATCTGTTTTGGAAGAAGTGCAGCTAGAGTGCGCCTTGGAGGCCAAGATGGCCAAACTTCGGCTCTCATACTTCAGACATATTGTCAGGAGGGCCCAGTCGCTGGAAAAGGATATCATGTTTGGTAAGGTGGAGGGTCAGAGAAAAAGAGGAAGACCCCCAATGAGATGGATTGGCCAAGGGGCAGCATCGATGGACTCAAGCATGGCAAAGTAGTAGGTTGGCCCAGGATGGGGGCAGTGTTTCGTTCTACTGTGCATAAGGTCGCCAAGTGTCTGTACCGACTCGATGGCACCTAACAACAACAACAGTGGCGCTGTAGAATAAGCTCTGAACTGCTAACTAGTTACTCCTCAGAAACCCTGTACAGTGTGCTCAGGAAGAAGTCACTCAATGCCATTGAGTCGACTCAGATTCAGATCTATCATGTAAGGCAGAGTTGAACTGTTCCTTAGGGTTTCTAGGACTGTAAACCTTTTACAGGAGTAGACAGCCTCATCTTTTTCCCTGAAGCAGTTGGTGGTGGATATGAACCACTGCAACCTTGTGGTTAACAACCAGAGCTAAATAGTAACCTCTGCCTCAGTCTATCAAGATTAGCTCCAAATGGACCGAAAGTTTTAATATTTAAAAAAAAAAAAGAAGAAGAAGAAAGTTTTCTTCTATAATGTAGACCTTTCTAAAAAAGAATGATAAATTGCCTAACAATAAAAATCTTCAGGACAAAAAAATTGCAGAGTTACCAGTTACACCTTACCATAAGAATGAAAAGGAGGGTGAATTAATATCTCAGCCAGTGGTGTTAATTCACCTATAGCAGAAGGTCTAATAGAGAAATAGGCAGAAGTTAAGGATGGGCAAGAGTCAAAGAAAAAACCACACATGGGACTTAAACATATGAAAAGTTGAGATACTGAACCCCACTTATTTTCAGAGAAATGCTGAAACTACCTTGAGATACAAGGGGGCTTCAAAAAGCTCATAGAAAAAAAGCCACTATCTTTTCATTCCATTTTTCCATAAACAATTTGAAGCCCCCTCATACCATGTTCCACTTATCTGATTGGTCAGAATCCAAAAGCGCATCACGCCATTCTACTTGTCAAACTGGGGGGAAAGCAGACCCTCGCCTGCAGAGCTGATGGGGATCCAGAATGGTACAGCCATTTGAGAAACCTTACCAAGACGACACGTGCATACACTCTATAAGCCAGCATCTCCACTCATGGAATTTTATCTTAGAGATAAACTTGCACATGTCTGGAATGACAGCTTCAAGGTTCTGTCTGTCTAGTGCAAGATTGTTTCTAAGAGCCAACAAGCAAAGAACAGCCTGAGTGTCCTTCAGTAGGGGATGGGAACAAATGTCACGGAGTAAGCATACTGTTGAGTGTGTGCAGCTGTAGGGAGAGAAGGGGAGCGAGGTGGCTCTGCACGATAAGTGCTGAATTGCAAACCACAAGGTCGGCGGTTCAAGTCCACCAGCCAATCTGCAGAAGAAAGATAAGGTGTTCTGGTCCTACAAAGGTCCTAAAAAGGTCAGTTTGAACCACAAAGTTGGCAGTTCAGGCTCACCAGCAACTCCTCGGAAACCCGATACAGGGTCACTTTGCGACGGAACTGACTCGACGGCCCTTAACAACAACAGCATGCATAAGGACACCTGAAAGAGTTTCTGCCAGACAGAAAAAGGGGTTCAGGTCCTACTGCTGGCCTGAGGGGAAGTGAGCACCTCTCTGGGCCAGACTGTGGGCGCTTTTCATGAAGAGGAAGTTAGCTGGGGCTTCTTTCTCCGTGAGCATGTTCTTATATTGTAGGTCCCGTGCATGCTTTCCCACGTGTCTCGGTAGCTATTTTCATATGTATTTACACATGCACCTATACCTGGTTTTGTTTTTCCCCCCAAAACATGGGATTATACTGTTTTGTTTTGTTAAAAAAAGGTACTGTGTGGGGATACATGAAAAACTAATACCAGAGGGTAAGAGGGTACCGGTAGTACCTGGGGGGATATGGTCTACAGTGACTGGAGCAGAGTGTTTTTCTGTCTAGAAAGAGGAGTCCCCCAGAATGACAGAAAGAGAAAGGGCGGAGCGTTCCTAACGTAAATACCAGGTATCCATAGATTCCCACCACTCCGTAGTTTGAAGTTTATTCCCTGCAACACCTCCGTTTGTACCCCACTGGCTCACATTGCTGACTTGAAGGAAACGTGTTGTTTTCAGCTGCCTGGACTTGGAGCAGTGTTCCCTCCGGGTGCTGGAGCCTGAAGGAAGCCCGAGCCTGTGTTTACTGAAACTGCTTGGGGAGAAGGGCTGCACAGTTACCGAGCTGAGCGACTTCCTGCAGACGCTGGAGCACACGGACGCTCTGCAGCTACTCAGCCCCCCAGGTGGGTGTGTCACCTCACTGTGTGTCCAGGGCTCCGAGGACACGGAATGAGAGGGAAACAGCTCACCTGGCCTGGAGAATTCTGCTGAGTAATTAATGTGTAACACTTCATTTTTTCCCCTCAGACATTTGCCTTCAGTGTAATCAAGATTTAAAATGTGACTGCCTGTTTTCAAGAAATTCAGGGAGGAGAGTTATGAATCTAATGAAGTCTTTAGGAAAACTCTGTGGGGCATCTTTTAGGCAAATTTGGGAGAAAATGTCATGATTGAAACAATAGAAATGAACAGTCTGCCAGAAATTTTTAAGCAATGTTTTATTTTGTTTTTTTAAGTTTTCATTGTGATTTGAGTGCAAGTTTAAAGAGCAGATCATCAGTTTTACAGTCAACAACTCATATACTTTGTTTCATTACAATGATTATAATCCCCTCCATGTACCATCAGTTAACAGTATTTCTCTCTATTCATTTTAGCTTTTTTTAAAAAACAACAACAACAACAACACTCAAGCATATATAATAATTTAAACCATCAAACAAAGGGCACATTCTGCAAGTCTGCCTCCTGGCCACCAGCTCTTAGTCCCTATCTTCCCATGAATGCAGAGTCTTCAGCTGCTCACTCTCTCCATGTCCCCATTTCTGCCTCCATCTCTGATGTCGTTGCTTCTCTGGATAGAGTTCCACATTCTGCTCGTGCTCTTCTCCCTTGAGGATCCTAGGGTCCTCTCTTTCTGGACTGTAAGATTAACTACTTCCCCGTTTTTGTTATAAAACTTTTACATTTACAATTGTGTCGGTCACAATTTGTCATGATAACAATTACTGTTGAATCATAAGAATCTCATCCCCGTCTCTTTTTACCAGACCCATCTAGACAAGATGAAAACTATTCAGTGGGGACTCTATCTTCCCCTGCACACTCTTAAACTAAACTCCCTCCTGAAACCTTGTGAGCCAGTCACTTTGTGCCTTTATCGCCCCCTCATTTTAGGTAGTATTGTTTTTTATACGTTGATTTCTGATAAACCAGCAGTTAATAAAGGTTCACATTAATAAACATCTGTAGTCTTCCTTTGGAAGCTCAGTGGTACAATGTTTCAGTACTCAGCCACGTGAAAAGTTGGCAGTTTGAAGCCACTCAGTTTTGTTCCGTGGAAGAAAGACCAGATAATCTACTTCCATAAAGATTGTAACAAGAAAACCCAGTGAGGCAGCTTTACCCTGCCACCCAGGGTCACTGTGAGTAAAGACCTTGTGTGCTCTTCCTGTTCTCCTCTACTTATTCTTTTTGCTGAGCTTCACAGATACTTTGTTTATTACAAACACAAGGTTTGTGGCAACCCTGCAACTAGCAAGTCAGTCGGCGCCATTTTCCTTCAGCATGTGCTCACTTCATGTCTCTGAGTCACATTCAGATCATTCTCATGATATTTCAAGCTTTTTCACAATACTATTGCACACTCACTAGATTCCAGAATAGTGTAAATATCACTTCTGTTGGCACTGGGATACCCAAAATTGTGTGTGACTTGCTTGATTTCTAGCTTCACTATATTCCAGTGGTCTGGAACTGAACCCACAATACCTCTGAGATCTGCCTGTGGTAGGACAGTGCTCCCCAGTATAGGCTGTTCTGAAATCTGACCCCCAAGTTACATCCTAGGACGTGTTCACATTTGAAGGAAAGCAGTTATATAGTGCCAGTGACTCATCGTTCCGAAGGTGGATGTTAAATTGTATAGTGTTCTTAGGAATTTATTGTGACTTGAATGTTAATCATTGATTTAAGAGAAAATAGTTTGAGATTTTATAAAAAAGCTCAGCAATTTTAGGATGAAGTAAGTAATTTCTGTTAGCTTACTCTGTATCTTCTATGAGTAATCTATGATGATAGCTGTGTGTTGTGGAGTTGGTTCCAACTCACAGCAACCCTGTATAGGGTTTACAAGACCATAAATCTTTACAGGAACAGAAAGCCTCATCTTTCTCCTGCAGAACTGCTGGTAGTTTCAAACTACTGACCTTGAGATTCACAGCCCAACTCATAACCACTATGCTACCAGAGCTCCTTATGGGTAGTCTATACAAGATAACCAAGAAAAATAAGGCAGAATTTTAATACAGGAAAGCCTGAGAAAGCCAGAACTTGTGTAAGGCAGACACCTGTCAGAGAAGCAAAACTCAAATATTTTCTGCTACTAGAGATTAAAAAAAAAAAAAAAAGTAAGACTCCATCCATCATTTTAGGTTTTGTGTGTGTGTGTTTTTGTTTTTCATTTTAAGCCATATTAAGAATGTAAGCCGTATAGGAACCAATTTATGTTAGGAATTTAGTCATTCACTCAAGAAACATTTGCTGCATTCTGTATCTTCTCCACCGCAGGCATTGTGCTGGTATGGTCATTCAGCTTCCAAGATGACTGAATCAGTAGCTCCTGTCTGTTTGAAGTCTGTAGTCCAATAGAAGAGACAAACATAAAAATGATCAGTATAATCATTAAAACAAAAACAACAACAAAAAACACACTTCACTTTGTTTTTCCCAGCATAGTCTTGAATCTTAGTAAAAATGCAAAGTAGAAATAATCTAATGTTTCCTTCTTTTCTGTGTGGTGATGGAGTCCTGGTATTGTGCTGTAGGCTCAGCACTGGACTGCGAACCACAAAGTCAGCAGTTCAAACCCAGCAACTGCTGCTTGGAAACCCTATACAGTGTCACTGTGAGTCAGAATTGACTCGTTAATGACAACAGTGGAGTCCTGGTGTGGTGCTGTAGGATCAGTACTGGACAGCTAACCACAAGGTTGACACTTCAAACCCACCTGCTGCCCCTCAGAAACCCTATACCGGGTTGCTATGGGTTGAACTGACTTGATGGCACGTAACAACAACAGCAATGCAGTTTCATAGGAGGTCACTAGTTCTGATTCCATAGGAAATGTGGCTGTCTTTCTCTGGTTGTTTTTGGAGAGCGAAGTCGAGAGCAGATGATTAAGATGAGTTCTACCCAAGATTCCGGGGGACCTCTGAGGCCTCAATGCAGGAGGATGGGAAAGCTTTAGATGGGTTAAAGGTTGGTACTTTGCCATGTTCTGCTCCAGTTGTTTGTGGAATGACAGCCAGAGATAGTGGTATAATACAAATTTCTCTGTTGTTGTTTTTTGTTTGTTTGTTTTTTGAGAAATTTATGTGTCTGTTTTCGGAGCCTAGAGGTAGCTGGAGTCACATCCTTCTTCTCTAACTGGAATAATCCCCTTCTTTGGGAGTCAGGTTCCATAGTCCCTCACTTTACTAAGCATGATGTATAAGTTCAACTTACCCCCAAATTCTTCTTCTTTGTGGGCTGTGACACCTTCACTTTCTGAGGTTTACCCTCTTCTGCTTTCTCTCTCACTGGGCTTTTCCACAGCTCTCAGAGCTGGTCACTTTGCTCCCCACCTGGTCCCTTCTGAACTGTGTCTGAGAGAAACTGCTTAGTGTCCTTAGGTATGGATTATGTCCATCCCATCTTCAGCACTGGAATTGTTTCCCTGTTTCTATTCCCTTGGTCAACTCTGTGGGAACTGGAGGGGAGGAGCAGGTAGGCAATGTCTTGAACAGACAGAGCTCTGCAATGATCTCTAGGCCTTTATTCCTTGATTTAAGCTTCCTGATCCCAACACAGCCAATATTGGCATCCACCTCCTCAGCGTTGTTGATAAACATATATGTTTTTGTGTATTTGTTTTGCTTTTCAGTGAAAACATTTTGAGAGCAGATTTATAGAATGGTTTTCCCTCTATCCATTGGAGTTATTGGGAGTCCTGATGTGGCACTGTAGGATACACAGTGGACTGCGAACCACAAGGTCAGTGGTTCAAACACACCAGTTGCTCCTCAGAAACCCTATACAAGTGGTTGTCTGAGAGAATGATGTCCTTACCTGGAATTGCTAAATGAAGAAGCCCTGGCGGCGTTGTGGGTTAGGCATTGGACTGCTAACTACAAGGTCAATGGCTCAAACTCATCAGCTCCACAGGAGGAGAAAAATGAGGTGGTCTGCTCCTGGAAAGATTTACCGTCTGGGAATCCCTATATGGTGTCTCACGGAGTCAAAACCAACTCAGTAGCTGTGGGTTTCCATTTTGGAGGCTATTTAGTGAGAATTCATATTTGATGTGAGTTTTTCATTACCTGTATCCATGGACTATCCCGGTTCAGCTGTTGGGATGTTGTTGCTATTTAACTTTGGCCTTCACATAGGAATGTTCCAGAGGCCGGACACAGTCAGGGGTTTTAGCCGAGTCATGGGATGTTTGTCTTCAGTGGGGAAGCTTTTCCATCGCCCCTCCTCTCCTCTTTCATTTCACTTCACTTTTTTTTTCCTAGTTGTTGTAGCATACTGACTGTGTTTCAGATTGTCTCTAAGAGAAGCTAAGAATGGTTGAATATTTTTCTTCACTTCACGTTTTATCCTCACAGTTCTGTGAAGGGGCAGAACAGTCCTATTATGAACGCTCTAAGTTTTACCAGCGAACGTTTATGTGTGTGTGCGTTGAGATTCACAGAGGTTCTCCCCTGGCAGTCACAGCTAGTTGTTGACAGAAAAAGGATTTGAAGCTACTGACCTCCATCCCTGAGTTCATTTCCACAATGCCAGAAAAGTTCTGAACTGTTCACTAAAACTTAGTTGTAAAGGATTACCTGTTTGTCCTTTAGCCCATGGACCTTTTCATTTTCTTCTTACAAATTGAAAAGACCACAAGTGCTGTATCTTTACTTGTTTCATGAATGTCAAGAGCTTGGCATTTATGACCGAAAAGAAAATATCAAGAAGTGGAGAGAGGCAAAGATGGACTAGACTAGACAGAAGGGAAATGATTTTGAGGAAGAAGAAGGGGGTGGTAAACGAGGTCTGAAAGAATGTTTCGGACTGCAGCATTCAGGGGGTTTGAGCAATGCAGAAATATAGAAGACGTGCTGTGGAAAGCCAGATTTTGGGAGTGTGCGTTGGCTCG